CCTAACAGTGTGTAAGGGTTAGGAATTGTTGGATGCAGAGTCACTGTAGCTTGGTTGAGCAAGCACAAGTCCTGTACTGGCTGGTAGTCCTTGGTCCCTGGCTTAGGGACAGGCAGGAGGGGGGGAGTTCCATGGAGACTGGCAAGGAACTATAATTCCATAGGCTTTCAAGCACCTTACATGAACCTGGATTCCTCTGAGAGCTTCTCTGGGAACTGGATACTGCTTTTGTCTAATTTGGTTGGGTCCCAGGCTTAACTTCTATGAGTACGGGGGCTTGGTTGACCACCAGTCCTGGAGGATTATCCTTTGCCTATACTCGGAGCCATTGCTTAGCTACAGCTGGTTTTATCTCTTGGCCTGGCACAGTTAGAAAAAGTCTCCATTCTTCTTCCTGGGAGACTGTTAGGGCCATGATAACTCCTGTTCCTTTAGCCGTAAAGAGCCCTGTTTTGTAAAGGAGATGGTGGCTCTCAGCTTGCTAAGCAAGTCTCTTCTGAGCAAGGGCAAGGGACAAGCCAGGTATGTATAAGAACTGGTGAACTATCTCATGTCCCCCCACTGAGCAGGTCCATGGTAGACAGAAAGCCTGCTTAGTGGAAACTCCTGTTGCTTTGATTATATCAATGGTTTTCTTGGAAAAGGGGGTAACCGGGGTGGTCACTACTGAATGTTCAGCACCAGTATCAACCAAAAACTTAATGTCCTTGCCCCCAACTGTAATCCTGAATGCGGGCTCCTTGTGGGCACTTCAGCCCAGTCCCCTTCAGTCCAATAACCCTTCAGCCAGACTGAACAAAGCTCCATCATCTTTATCTAAGGTCTCTTGTTGCAAACCACCTTGCTTTTCCTTCAGTTGGGGACACTTATCTTTCCAATGTCCTATTTCCTTACAATAGGAGCACTGGTTATGTTGCAAGTGTGGGCGATTAGTGGGTATTCTTCCTGGAACCCCCCTTTCCCTCTCCTTTCAGGGGAATTCCCTTAATGGCCATGGCCAGTAAGTCGGCATTTTGCCTAGCCTGGCGTTCGCCTTCCTTACAGCTTTCTCTATGGCTTGTTGCATCTCTATTCACAAGTACTTGAGTGGCTATTTCCAGTAACTGTGAGGTATTCATACCCACAAACCCAGCCTGTTTCTGCAATTTTCTCCTGATATCTTCCATGCTTTGACTAACTAAGGTCATGTTAATCATGTGCTGATTTTCAGGGCTATCTACATAAAAAGGAGTGTACATATGGTAAGCCTCCCACAGTCTTTCATAGAATTGCGCTGGACTCTCCTTTATTCCTTGGATGACCTCAGAGACCTTATATACATTTGTAGCCTTTTGAGCCCCTTTCTTTAGATCTTCTATTAATGCCTCACGGTACCATCTTAGCCTCTCCATGTCTGGTCCCTCGTTTGGGTCCCACTGGGGGTCTGTTCCTGGCAGTTGAATTCTTATATATTCTTGGGGGTTTTGGTAATCGGCTGGGATGTGCTCCTCTAGCCACTTAGTTGCCACCTGGAGCACCCTTCGCCTTTCATCTGTATTAAAGAGGTACGTGAGCAGCTGGTGGCAATCAGCCCAAGTAGGATTATGAGTCTGTATAATTGTTTGGAGCAAGTCAATTAAAGCTTGAGGTTTTCAGTGTAAGATGGAGTATTACTTTTCCAATTGAGGAGGTCAGCAGAGGTGAAAGGTTGATACACAAAGTCACGCCTTTCCACCATGTGTCCATCCTCATCTACCCCAGTATATCACTGCTCTCTCAGGGACATTTGGATTGCAGTCTTGGGCCATAAGTGAGCTGCCAAGGGAGGAGTTTCTCCCGCACCTTCACTTCCTCTGTTTTCTACTCTGGGTGGTCTAGGGGTGTGGTTATCTGGTGGAGGTGGAGGTGCTGTGGGCTCAGGGGTGGGGAGTCCTTCCTCCCGATAAGGAGGGGGTATTCCTCGTACGAATTCCTGCCATGATTCTTCTGGTGTTGGGTCGGACAGGACTTTTGGTGCCGACTTCCCTCGGCAGGTGGAGCGAGAACCTTCCTTAACTAACTGTCCCTTTGCTACTAGTACTGCTGCTGCCTGTCCTCTTAACCACTGTGGGGGGTCCAAAACTAGCTGTAACCATGAATCTATATATGGGAACTGATATAGGTACCCTGGCTTACAGGTTACCCTGTGCCATACCTTTGAGACAAGGGTCCTGTCCAGGCTTCCTTCTGATGGCCAACCCACCTCTAATGCTGGCCAGACTATCTCACACAAAGTTCTAAGTTTTCCTGATGTCATGGTGACTCCATAGTCTCCCTTAAATCCCTTTTTGAAATTTTTCAACATAGTTCCTAGTGGGGTGGGCTTACTTTGTGCCTGACCCATGTTTCCTCAAGACAAAACACCACAGTCACACCACACACACACACCACAAAACAAAGAATGGGTAAAAAGGGCACACACACACTTTTACAGTTTATGCCAAACCAGAATCAAAACCAAAATCAGAGTATCAAGAAATCTAAGCCAGGTCAAAACCAAAACCAAAGTATCAAGCAATCCAAGTCAAGTCAAAAACAAAAACCAAAGTGCCGGTACAGGCACACTGTGGGTGATCAGGCCATGCTTCCACTCAAATGGAGTAGGCAAGTTCCCAAGACCTATCCTGTCAAGCAATTCAAACCAAGTCAAAACCAAAACACCAAAGTGCCGATAAAGTCATGCTGTGGGTGATCAGGCCACACTTCCACTCAAATGGAGTGGGCAAGTTCCTAAGACCAATCCTATCAAGCAATTCAAACCAAGTCAAAACCAAAACCAAAGTGCCAATGAAGGCATGCCATGGGTGATCAGGCCATGCTTCCACTCAAACGGAGTGGGCAAGTTTCAGAGACTAGTCTTACCAAGTTTTAGATGTCCAGACTCCAAGTGCCCGTTCCTTCCCATTGTTCAGCCACTGCATTGATCCTCCATGGGGACCTGCCACACACTGCTCTGGCGAGGTGTCCCATGGGGGCAAATGCCTACCCGGGAGTGCTCTCAGGATCCACATGGCTGGGTCTAGTTGGAGTCCCCTGCAGGGATGTTCCACAGGGCAGGCTTAAGCCACCTAAGGAGCTGCCTCGACCATCTGCCAATCACCTTGATTCCTGGTCAGGGAACCAAGAAATGTAGCAGGACAAGCCGCAGACAAAACTCCTCAGACACTGAGTTAAAGAAGGAAGGGGTTTATTCGGCCAGGAGCATTGGCAAGACTCCTGTCTGAAGAACCGAGTTCCCCGAGTGAACAATTCCTGTCCCTTTTAAGGGCTCACAACTCTGCATGTGAGAGGGTTGTGATTGATTGAGCAAGCAGAGGGTACGTGACTGAGGCTGCATGCACCGGTAATTAGATCGGAACAAAACAGGATAGGGATTTTCATGGTGCATTTCTATACAATGTATGTAATCTATAGATAACATAACCGTTTAGGTCAGGGGTCGATCTTTAACTACCAGGCCCAGGGTGTGGCGCCAGGCTGTGTGCCTGTGGATTTCATTTCTGCCTTTTAGTTTTTACTTCTTCTTTCTTTGGAGGCAGAAAATGGGCATAAGACGATATGAGGGGTGGTTTCCTCCCTTATGTGTGCTAGGAGTTGGGAGGCAAGGGTGGAGGCGTGTGTTTTCAGACAGGGAATGGCATGTGCAGAAACTTCAGGTGAGAGAGAGCATGGCTCCCCAGGAATGAATGCAATTCCTGTAGCTGGGAGAGTATCACCTGGAGGTTAGGGAAAGATGAGGCTGAACAAGTAAAGACCGAATATTCCTGGCTCTTGGATCACCACAATCAAGATAATGAACACATCCACCCGCCCCCAAAATTTCCATGTGTAAGGGGTTATTTCAGGAAGTATGATCAAGAAAGGCCAGCCTGCCAGGGTGCAATGGCTCATGCCTATAATCCCAGCACTTTGGGCAGGCTGAGTTGTGCGGATGACCTGAGATCAGGAGTTCGAGGTCAAGATGGCCAATGTGGAGAAACCCTGTTTCTACTAAAAATACAAAAATGCCAGACATGATTGCACATGCCTGTAGTCCCAGCTACTTGGGAGGCCGAGACAGGAGAATCGCTTGAACCCAGGAGGCGGAGGTTGCAGTGAGTCAAGATTGTACCATTGCACTTCAGCCTGGGCAACAGAGTGAGACTCCATCTTTATAAATAAATAAGTAAGTAAGTAAATAAATAAATAAATAGGACTGGTCTGATGAGGTGTGACTTGAGCAGAGAGTGGAATGAAATCAAAGATAGCAAGCCACACTGAGAGTGCAGCAGGCACGGCAGCGGGAGCAAGGCTGGAGTCCCCGAGCAGCAGCAGGGAAGCCGGAGTGGCTGGATTTGTGTGGGTATGGGGAAGAGGAGAGAGGTCACTCGTCTCTGTGAGGCCCGGGACTTTGTTTTATCCCCTGCTGTACCCCAACACTTAGAGTGGGAGCTAACACAGAGAAGGCACTCAATTGATGTTTGCTGAGCAGATGAATGTCTGGAGTAGACCTCAGAGCAGGGTTTGGTGGCAGGGTAGGTCAGGAGAGAGTTCACTCAACAGCCTGGTGATAGGGGAGAACAAGTGGCCAGAGGGCATCCATCTATGATGGGGACCAGGGGTCTCTGCTGGACAGAAGTGTGGGAGACACGGATCCTGGCCATACCTCAGCCTTCCCTCCAGCCTGATTGCCTGCCTCCCTCCCTTTCAGAGGTTCCGGTTCTGTGGTGATCTGGACTGTCGTGACTGGGTCCTGGCTGAGATCAGCACGCTGGCCAAGATGGTTAAGTGCACAGGGTCTAGTTTGGGTGGAGGAGGGGCACTGGGCTGGGGATTGTGGGTGTAGATGATGGTGACTTTTCTCTGGGGTTAGGGCTTCAGTGCTCTCAGCCTGTGCTACCATGCTTTGTAACCTTGATCAGTGTCTGGCCTGCTCTGAGCCAGTCCCCAGGAAGGAGGGGTGAGGTTCACCAGCCTGGCTGATGTAAGGACTTCCCTTCCAGTCCTCTGTGAAGTTGCAGCTGCTCTGCAGCCAGGTACTAAAGAGCTGCTGGGACGGGGGAATGATGTGAGTACAAGACCCAGCACCCCATTGTCCCATGACCTTATGACCCCCAGTGCCCTGAAGCTCTGCACTAGGCCCAGGGAGATGGGTGACCCAGCCTGTCAACCTCTCTAGGCACCTCCCATACTTCTTTCCAGCCTCTCTGTTCCTTATTGCAGGATCCAGGCTGAGGGTGAGGGGCTGGTGAATAGGGTACTGGCAGCCTCTGAAGGTCTCCTTTCCCCATAGTATGAGAAGATCCTGAAGCTCACAGCTGATGCCAAGTTTGGTGAGTACCCTGTTAAGTTCACAGGCCCCAGGCAACCCTGGGACCTTGGCCTGGTTCCTGGTACAGAGGCCCCCCACCCCTCCCAGCAGCATCCTTAACTTACCTTCCCTAGTGGAGGAGCATGAGGGAAGGAAAGACATTGACAGTCCCACCTTCCTGTCCTCTGCCAGCTCCTGGTGGAGCAGGAGCAGTGCCTGTGGCTCCAGAAGGCCTGGGGGCTTTGAGCTGAAGTTAATAGGGCAAAAGGGAGTGGCTGGGGCCACAGTGAAACCCCCTGTCCCACCCACAGGTCTCTCAGAGTCAGGCGATGTGAAGGCCACAGTGGCAGTGCTGAGTTTCATCCTCTCCAGTGCGGCCAAACACAGTGTCGATGGTGGATGCTTGTTCAGTGAACTGCAGCAGCTGGGGCTGCCCAAAGGTATGGGTTGTGGGTGGGCAGCTGGGCAGCCTGTGGGCCAAGGGCTGCTAGAGAGGGGGCCAGGCCCTGTGACCCTATGGTGTACCCTGCCCTGTCTGGGCCAGGAACCCAAGCCCAGCCCCCACCTGCTACCTCCAGAGCTACTCCGTTCTACCCCCAGAGCATGTGGCCAGCCTGTGCCACTCTTATGAGGAGAAGCAAAGCCCCCTGCAGAAGCACTTGGGGTCTGCAACCTATGCAGTAAGTATGAGCCCAGCCAGTGTCCGCACTCATTCTAGAAGGTTCACGCAGCATGCAAAGTGCATGGGGAGTCCAGGGAGACGACTTAACCACGGTCACATGCTGAGCAGCCGCAGAGCTGGGACCTGGCCCTGGGTCTTCTGAATCCGTGGGCTCTGTGATGTGTACGTACAGGATCAGACTTTGCTCTTTCCTCCTGGCTGAACCTTCCCTAGTCCCCCATGCCCTATGTGTGAGCACCAAGCTCACTCTCGTTCCTCCCTCTCCACAGTGTGGTCTCTTGCAGCATGAGTGGCAGAAGGGGCAGCAGAGACTGTGGACCCCTCAGCTGCACCTAAGACCTCTGTGTGGTCTAGCTGTCTGTCCTGGGGGAGGCCCTTGGCCACCATTTCCCCCTCTGTAAATGAGACCGATGCCTGTGGCATGGAGGGCGGGAGGCAGGTGTGAGTGCCAAGCACTTGGAGCAGGGCCCTGAGTGAGAATGGACATGGGAGCAGGGGTGTTCCTCGACTTTATGCACCTTGGGGATGGGAGCGGGGCTCCCTGCCTTGACAAGGCATTGCTTTACCCCACCCCACCTCTGTCCCAGCCCTGCAAGTCAGTCCTTGGGGGTCTAGGAGGGAAGAAGCCCCTGGCTGTGTGACCTCGGGCTGGTGCCTGGCCCTCTCTGGCTCTGAGTTCCTGGGAAAGTCAGCACCCAAGGAACGCCCTCCAGCTGTCTCTTATACACATCTAGATGTGTATAAGAGACAGGGTCTGAGGAGGAGGGTCAGCTGGGGGGTCAGGAGAGGATGAAGAGGGTCACAGCTCTACCAAACCAAGCCTTATTTCTTGTGGCCCCTGGCCTACTCCTCTGGTGCCAACCTCCGGCTGGCCCAGCCCTGCAGAGTAGGTGCTCAAAGGCATCAGTAGCGGTTTGTCTCATGCTGGTCTCCCCCCAGGTCCCCCTCTGGAGCCCAGTACCACAGATCTCAGGGTGAGGGGTACAGCTCAGTCTCCTTTCCCCCTCATCCCCCTCACAGGGGCTTTGTCCACCAAGGCCCCTGACTGCTAGGGGACCCACACCCACGGCCTCCCTCTTTCTGACTGCTGGTCCTTCCACAGCCTGGATACTTGAGCCCTGGCCAGAGGGGTAACGATCCCAGGACTGTCTTCGCAAGCAGAGAGACTGCTTGGCATGAGGCCCTGACTCCTTGGGTTGAGCTCAGCAGCAGGTGTGTCACCAAGGCCCCCTGGGCAGAAGGGGCTCAGCTCTGAGGGCCCATCACTTGCCATACCTGCATGTTCCTGCTAGGCATCCACCCTGGGGACCCAGCTTTCCCCCTGCCCCCAGCTGCTAGCAGCCCCATCTTAACTCATCCAGGGTCCTGCAGGCCACGCCAGGAAGCAGCCAGCAGCTGGGAGGAGCACTTGATGTTTCTGCATCTTTTTTTATGGAGCTCCCTTGGGTGGGAGGGGCTACAGACTCAAGGGAGACTGCAGGCCACCCCTTCCCCACTCCCTGGCTGGGTGGGCTTCCAGCTCAGGAGTCTGACTGGAAGGGCGGGACCGTCCTGTCACAGAGGCAGGTCTGAGTAGTCCAGGCCCAGTTTTACCCTCCAGCGGGGCCCCTCCCATTCATTTGTCCAGCTGGCTTTGCCCAAAGCACAAGTAATGTCTATGTGGACTGTGTCCCCTGTCCCCAAAGGGAGTCTGGCTCCAGTCCTGGCTTGGAACTCGGAGGCCTTAGAATTAGAAGCCACATCTGGCAGGGTGGACCAGCATGGTCTGCCCACAGCCAGGGCAGGTACCATGTTGGCAGCCCCAGACCTGACACCACTGCTCCCGTGTCCCCTCTCCACTTCCGTCCTGCACATCACCTACACTACGTGCTGTCCCTGATGAATCCAAGCTGTCAGCTTCTGTCAGCTTGGCCACGAAGTCACCCTGACCATAAGGAGAATGGTGCAGCCTGAGTTGGGGGCTAAGTGGGAACGGGCCTGGTGTGGGGTGGGGGAGGTGGGGGTGAGGCAAGTGTCTGGCGCCTCTCTGCTTATCTTCCCTTCTCCCTTGCCCACAAAGGAGGCATCTTCTCCATGTCCCTCTGCCACCCCGGGGACATAAAATACTGCCCCAGCCCCAGGTCTGTCTTTCCTTGGACGTAGCCCACCTACCTTCCTGTGGGACTCAGG